CAAGAGGATCAGGAAGAAAATGCTAACCAAAGAGAAGGTCCATATTCCTCAGAAGCCTATAAAACATTGAAAAGAAAACTGAAAGGCGAGCTGAAAGTTATTCCTCAGCAAACACCTAGAATTTCTCTTGGTGAATTTCTTATAAATACTCTTACCCTAGTGAATCACTTTAAACTAAACTTTTCAAATTTTGAGGGGATAATGAAGCTTGTAAATACCCTGTTCAAAGAGAGAATAGTGCCTGATACAAGATACCTTTTAGACAAACTTTTTGTGTCATTGCCCGGAATGCACTATCATTTTGTGTGTGCTTTCTGTATGGACTATCTGGGAGAGTTCGACCATAGTGTTGTCTCTCAAATTGCTTGTGATAGCTGTGAAAAAGTAACAGTTATATCAGACTTAAACAAATGTTCATTTTTTGTTACTTTTGATCTTCCTCAACAAATAGAAGTATTGCTCAGTAACCGTGATATTTTCCAATCATTGAAAAATCCTTTTGATTTAAGGAATAATGTGCGTCCCAATGTTATGGAAGACGTTTATGACGGTGAGCTATATCAGAAATTTATTCGGTCATTAAAGCCAGGGGACAACTGTCGACATATAAGTTTATGCTTTGGTGTTGATGGTGCGTCATTTTATACAAGTTCAAATTGTGAAATTTGGCCTGTATTTTGTTCTATTCTTGAGCTTCCTGTAAATATCAGATCCCATAACTTACTATTGGCTGCATTGTGGTTTGGAAAAGGCCATGCCCCTTTAGATGTGTTTTTGATTCCTGTGGTGAAACATTTACAACTATTATCAAAACATGGGTTTAATGTAGATCTGCATGGTGAGAGTATTTTTATAAAATGTCATTGCATTTGTTGTTGCGCTGATGCTCCTGCTCGAGCTGGAGTTCAAGGAATTCACCAGCACGGTGGTAGTTTCTCTTGCCCGTGGTGTTTGCATCCCTCAGAACACCGTTTGTACAAGATTTTGGATTACCCTCCAGAGAAGAGAACTAAACAACAAATAATAGATGATGGTGCAGCTGCATTGGTTCTGGACTCTGGGGATCTTTCAGTAAGAGGAGTAACCGGACTGTCGCCAGTTCTCCTCATTCCAACAATGGATATTGTAGATGGTATGATCCTAGAATATTTTCACGCAGCAGCCCATGGCATTTGCAAACAATTCCTTAAAGCATGGCTTGGAGAAGATGGTGCTAATAAGGATATCCCTTACTACATTGGCAGTCCTAACAATGAAGAAAATCTTGACAGACGATTGCGTCTTGTACGTTTACCTGTTGAAGCTCGAAGACCTGCAAGATTAGTTTCTGAGATAGGCTCTTGGAGCGGTAGAGACTTTGAAAATTTTCTCCTTTATGGTGGTGTTGCACTTATAGATATCTTACCACAAAGATATTTGCGTCATTGGTTTATGTTTGTTCAGGCAATGCATCTTCTCCTGCAAGACAGGGTTACGGATTATCAGTTGACTTCAGCAAAAGATATTTTGAGGAACTTTGCAAATCTAGCATCAGTTTTATACCCAGAACATCACCAAACATACAATATGCATATTATTTCCTTCCATCTTGCAGACAACTGTAGGAACTGGGGACCTGCCTGGGCCATAAATGGCTACTGCTTTGAGGATGGAAACAAAGTTTTAAAAAATAAAATTCATGCAAATTTGGGTGTTGCTTCACAAGTGTGCCGTGCTCTCAGCCATGCCAAATCTTTGGAAATACTTCGGTCTGCAGTTGAAACGCCATCTTCTGAAAAGTTTAAAGCTGATATTGAAAAGAAAACTGTTAACAGTTGTGTTGTGATTGATAATGACAAGTATTTTGGTTCACAGAAGAAATTTACACCTAGCCAGGAAGAATTGTTTATGTTAACTGAGAGAGGAATTTTTGTAGATTCATTTGTTTCAGTTTCCAAACTTATTCATAATGGGTGTGTTTATACAACATCAAATGTTCTTTCAAAAATTACAAATAACTCTGTTGCTATGTTATCAAATAACACAATTTTATTGATTGATAAAATAATTATATCAGAAGAACTGTCTGTTGGTTTGATCATAGGTCACAAAATGAGATGTTCAACATACCATCCAATACCACGTGTTGATCCTAATGAGGCATTCTTGAAAATTGTGTCTAGTACTCACAATGAGTCAAGTATAATTTCTCCCAATGATTTAAAAACTGTTTGCGCTCGACTTATCCTGCCTCATGGGGATTTTGTGATTAAAGTTCCTAATATTTACAATACATGCTAATCATAATCATAATTATTGTTTAACTATGATCCTAACAATCTAAATAGTCATACAACAGTGCCCTGTAAGTAACTGGAAGGAATAAAATCACTAATAATAAAACAACTCTTCTTGCACAAAGTTGTATTCTGGTTATTTTTATCCTGTGGAAATAGGAGTAGCGACCTAACTTTAAAGGGACATCCCCTTAACTCACATCAGACTGGACATTACACAATCAGAGCAAACGAAGGTCTGGCAGAGGTCGCCACCGACACCCTGCTAGTCTTGCTGAGCAGAGCGCGCCAACGGCGAGTACGTTGACGGCCGGGCCCAGATCGTGGAGGTAGTGAAGGGCGGGCGGGGGAGGTCAGGCAGGAAGGGCATGAGAAAGGACAGAGAAGAGAGGCGTGCACCACTGGCTCCACGAGGAGGCGGTGCACGTCC